AAACCCAAAGGGGGAGGCAGCACAGCACTGTGATTAATGACATGGATTCTGCACCAATTGACCGGGTTCAAACCCCAGCTCAGACACTTACTATTGTGTGACCTTGAGGGAGTTATTTAATATTGCTTCACGGTGTCCTCATGCACAAGATGGGAGTAAACAAGAGGACTTACCTCAAAGTGTTATTCTAAAGATAAATGAGTTAATACCTGTAAACTACCACCACACAGTAACTGCTATACAAAAATTCACTACGATTATTATTAAAACAGACTATTTTAAACCAACACACAGACAAATTTAGCATAACCAAAGATTAGAGAGAAAAGCACAAAAGCCATGTGAGGATTGAGTAAGAGAATATGACCACAGATAAAACAGATTTTTTGAAGCTCTAAGAAAATCTCTGGGAGAGGGCCTTCGCTGTTAGCAGGAGGCGACAAGGCTGTTTGTGTGTCCTCATGACACAGCTGCTAACTTCTAAAGTGAGCAATCCAAAAGACACAGCAAGGAGGAGGTCACAATGCCTTCTAAGCACCTATCTCTGAAGTAACATGTTATTTCTACCACAAATTCAGTCATCTCACACTTAAGAGGAGAACTGGGATCCACCTTTGAAGGGAGAAATATCAAATAATATATGGACACATTTAAAACTACCATGGACATCATCAAAAGGTACACAACATGATCTAATACTGAAATTGAACAACCTTGAGCTGGTGCTTCACATGGTATCCAACAGACACCGCTGTTTCTTTTGAAAATGTTAAGTATCTCTATCCCTGTGAGCTTGCTGTAGCACTTCCGTGAACCTAAGCACACAGCCTGAAAACCTGTGCTCCTTCCACTGCACAATGCAGCCTCCCAGGTCTGTGCTTCAGTGTATATTCTTCCCTATTGGACTGAAAAGGAGGGAAGGAAGATGCTTTCTGTTCTTTGGAATGGCTTGACAGGACCCAGGATACATTCCAGGAAAGCTGCATGACTCACCATAAACTCTTATGCCAGGAAACCACAAGATCTTTGCTGGAGAAAGCATACAAGAAACCAGCTTCAAAACAGCCATTCTAATGCACTGGAGCCTCTCGGTGTCGGCTGCTATTGCTAAGATGCTATAGAGAGGCTATAACAAGTCATTTAGCAGGAAGTAAACTGCTCTGCTTCATAGACAAGTATCCTGCTCTCCTTCCAGCATCAAGATTTGTCACACTGTGTTGAACTAAGTTATATTCTTTTTCTTCCCAGTTGATCAGTCAACATCTTTAAACTTATCTGTAAACTTAACATTATCAAATAAACAAAAAGCAAATTTATATTTTTATCTTTATATTTTGAAACAATTTCAGACTTACAGAACAGATGTAGAAAGTTCCCATATACCCTTTACTCACCTTCCCCTAGTATTAGTTAGCATCTTACAGAACTATAGTACAATTATTAAAACCAGGTGATTAGGACTGATACAATACTATTAATTAATTACAGATCTTAACAAATTTTGCCAGTTTTCCTAATAATGTCCTTTCTATGGTCCAGAATTCAACTGAAGATTCCACATTGCATTTAGTTATCATGTCTCCTTAGTTTCCTCCAATCTGTAACAGTTCCTAAAGCTTACTGGTTTTTCATGACCTTAACCTATTTGAGTAACACTAAACAGTCATTCCCTGGAATGTTCCTCAATTTGGGTTAGTCTGATGCTTTCTCATATTAGACTGAGGTTATGCATTTATGGCAAGAATCCTACAGAAGCAATTGTGCTGGTGTCTCTATATCATATCAGGCACAAAACATTTTATTTTTTTGAACAAGGTATGATTTAAGAAAATTTTCACATATCCAAATAAGTTTTAAATACTTGGTATACAATGCCTACTATATCTTCATCAGTATGTGCTAAAATTTTTATATAATTAACCAAATTTAAGTTGTACCTGTTCAGAATTTTAAGAAATATTACACAAGAACTTCAAAAGAAAATGGGAGGGGAGGGGAGGGGATAGCTCAGTGGTAGAATGCATGCCTAGCATGCACGAGGTCCAGGGATCAATCCCTAGTACCTCCATTAAATAAACAACAAACAAACAAACAAATAAACCTAACTGCTCCCCCTGCCCCCTCCAAAAAAAAGAAAGAAAGAAAATGTGAGGCTTAGGCTGTCAATCTAAGACTGTAAGTTCCATGCAAATAGGAATGTAATTTTTTTCACTGCCATATCCTTAGCACCTTGAAAAGTGCCTGCCACTAAGCATTTGTGATATGAATGGAATAATACTGAAGAAACAAAACACCAATAAATTCATGAAATGATTTTACTAACTCCCTTAGAGTGGAAAAGGTTCAACCATTTAGAACACAGCTTTTACGCTATTTATATACTTGTTTACAAGAGCCTATTTCCAATCTCCCTCAACTGCTGGCCGGCCAGAGTGGTGATGCTTCCAGGTATCACATGACACACAGGCTTCTTAATGGCAGTTTCAGCTGCTACAACCCCAGATTTAGGCACTCACACCCACATCTACCAGGCAATGCAGCAGGACTGCTGGGCAAAACACACAAACATGAACAGGTCCACAGGTGCCACCACCTCCTTGGAACCCTCTCCTATGACACACTCAAAAATAAACTTTGTAAGGGGAAGTAAAGATGCCATGCGCTCTACTACAGCTATGTCAGTAAGCGCCTGGTCTCCCAAAGCCACAAAAAACGCTGGCCCTGCAGCCGCTCACTCCTGAAAGCAAACCTTACAGCAGAGATCAAACTATGTTGATTATTTACAAAAGGAGGTACGTCCTGGGACATTTAAAGGCAGTAACATTATACTTTCCTAAACTCTAGAAACTCCTGATTCCCAGTAATGCGATCTTATGGTCAGATAGTCACATGTTAAAGCAGCTCTTAAATGTTACAATGTACTAAAAAAAAAAAAGTAAAGGGAGAGGGTATAGCTCAAGTGGTAGAGAGCTTGCTTGACATGCACAGGGACCTGGGTTCAATCCCGGGTACCGCCTCTAAAAATAAACAAATAAATAAATCTAATCACCTCCCCCTTAAAAAAGAAAAAAACTAAAAAGAATGGAAAAAGTAAAAGCAAATTTTAAGTTCAGTATTTAAATTAAGCTTTTAAATACATTAATGCAATTTTCTGTGTTCTTATGTAATTTTGTTTGTTCTGAGGAGCAGCCACATTTCATTTTTCCGCCTCATTCATATTGGTTGTATTCAGTATTTCACAATTATACATAAAACTATGATAAACACCTATGCTGTCTAAATTATCTATGACACAATCCATCTGAGCAGAAGTCAGAGGATAAGGCAAAAAATAAAGTAAAACTTTATAGTTCAGCTGCCTAACTGCTTTCTAAAACCATCATACCCATTTACCATGTGACTGGCAATGTGCAAGTGTCAATTTCATGAGCCTCACAACTACTGGGATCATCAATTTTTGCTACTGTAAGTATCAAAAGATGGTAACTTATTCTAAACTTTTTTCTAATAAAGTTCAATATTTGCAACATTTTATTATCTTTTCTAGTTTTGAAAACTATCTGCTCATGTAATCAAGATCCTATTATGCATTCTATGAAGAATACCTCATGATCTAATGGGTTTTAAATGTTATCTATAGTTCTATTATCTGGGGTGAAAAATACATGGCTTCAAAAGATTATACTTTTAAAAAAGACAAACTCTGCTCAGAGATTTCAATCACACAGACTGGTGCCCTTCCAGCAAGGACTGCTTCCGACGTATATGTTTTAGTTATAGGCATGAATGCACATGCACATATATATGCATGTTTTCTGTTTGTGTTTACAACTATGAATTTCGGACCTCAGGTTAAACCCTAGAAATGATCATAAAGAGACAGAGTTCACTAATAGTGGAGAAGCATCAGACACCTACTCCCCTAAATTCTTGAGATAAATGCCTACTTAACCTGGGCAACACTGCTCGGGTGTTAGCCACTGACATCTTCCTTACCAGCCCAAGTTAGTCTCTTCTGTACCTTAGACATCAAGCAATTATACCACTGCATATATAACCCTGCCCTTAAATGATTCATTAGTCCATTTCCTCCGATACAGAATGAGCTCTGTGTGGCAAGGACGGTGTTATAGCTCAGCGTTCCTAGCACTGCACATAGGAAAACAGTACCTTCTGAACTGGCAAACCTTTTGAACAAAGACATAATTCAGCAGACTTTTCACACAGCCGATCACTTCTGCAAGTAACTCATATCTTAATTCCTGGGTACGCTCCTTACCGTATGTTATAATTCTCTGACTATTAATAGCAGAATTAAATTTAAAATCTGCTTTTTTTTAAGCAGTAGTTAGGCAAGTACTAAATGAAAATGCAATTTTGAAACCAACTTTTGAAAATGATGCTTTTATGTCTATGTAACCACTATATTTACCCAAATTCTACACTGCATATTGTGGCATAAAACAATTAAATAAAAACATTAAATAGCTCAATGCACCTATTCAAATTTTGAAGACTGATGGTCGTCCTTTGATGTTAAAGACAAAATATTTATATTCTTTGGAGTAACTGTTACTTCTGAATTCAGTTCTTAAAGTCCAGGAAAAGTACTTTGGCAGTTATGATTCAATTTTAAGCAACTGAACAGCAGGACTTTTTCCTGGAGTAAAAGAAAAATGTTTTTCTATACATGCTCCCATATTTATAATATACTATTACATGAAAAGAGTTTCTGGACAGATATTCATATTTTATACATTAAAAGAATATTGTAGATCCTAAGATATTTATGACTTATTGGCCATACATTAAACAAAAGTATCCAAAAACTACACTTTACTGATTCACTAATTATTTAACTAGTTTATGGTCACCATCAATTGATAAGAAAAGTATTCTACTTTCATTAAACCACAAATATTTCAAAATGACACACCATAACCTTCTGCCAAGTCCTCTTGTGCTGGGAGTTTTGAGTCCCGAACTGGTCAGAGGCTCACCTGACAGGTCCAGCTCCTCGGTGGAAGACAAACTGGCCAGACTCCAGCTGTCGCTGCGGGCCGCCAGGACAAACTTGTGAGCATTGATGTGCCTGCCCCCAACCTTTATCTTCAGATCACTGATGAAGAAAATACCCACAGATATAAGAAGAAAAATGTCATCACAACTAGGTATAGTTAGGATTCAACAGCTGATAAATATATGAGAATTGACTGAACCAACATACATCTGCAAAGAAAAAAAAAATCACAGCAAAATTAATTCTCTATCCTAGCACTGAATTCTGATGGGTCATATTTATAACATGTTGCTACACATGTTTTCTATTTCTAACTTCTAGCTTTAGTTCACATGGGATGTTTTGCTTTCAAAGACATTCCCTAATGTCACTTCCATGGCAGTGAACGTACAAGATACATAGGATGATTAATATTTGTATAAAAAGTAGAAGAGGTTTAATGCAGGAAAAAAAATCAAGATAAATCATCAGGGAGAGACAGAAAGCTTAAAGATGACAGCTCTGAGACTACAATGCAGATACGCTCCATACTATATTAATGCTCCAAAGTTAAACAAAAAACTATGAACAAACTAGCTTTGACAAAGCAGTCAAGAATAGGAAACGCGGTATCCAGACTCCCATTCTCACCAGAAACATTCAGACCTATTATTGGCCATTTTTTACTCAGCCATTTATAAAGACATGAAAGAAATGTTTTTTTAAACATGTTTCCATATGTATGACATACCACATACGAAAAGAAGTTTCCAAATAGCTACGTATATTTAACTCTGAAATATCAAATGCTAAAGGAGGAAAGCATCTGGCCAGTTAACAAAAACGTAAGGTGACCCACCGGGCTGACATAAGCACGTGCCATATGGCTATGCTGGCAGCAGTCCACAGTCACCAATCATCATCATCCTGCTCGTATTTGTATGTTTTTTTTTAATTTTCATATTCCCCTTTAAAATAATTTGTTAGGTTGGAAAGCCTTTATAAACTAAATACACAAAAACTATAACAGAAAGAAAGAAAGAATGAATGAAAGAAAAAAGGTAGGAAGGAAGAAAAAAAACCTATTACATGAATTAACTCATCCACTTCAAAGGAGCTCCAAACAGAATCTTCTTTTCATATAATGCTTGATGCAGACACATTTTACTCCACAAAAGCATCGTCTAGAATATACTTTATAATTATGTGTATCAACAGTTCTAGTTCTATTAAAGAAGTAACCAAGGTACAACTTATTATGTTAGATCAAAAGAATAACAGGGGACTTACTATTACAAATCATTAGAAAATACTGTTAACCCAATCAAAATATGGGCAGAAGGCATAAACAGACATTTCCCCAAAGAAGTCATCCATCTGGCCAACAGGCACATTAAAAGATGCTCAATATCGTTAATTATCAGAGAAATGCCAATCAAAATCACAATGAGGTATTATCTCACACCAGTCAGAATGGCCATCATTAAAAAGTCTACAAATAATAAATGCTGGACAGTGTGTGAAGAAAAAGGAACCCTCCTGCACTGTTGGTAGGAATGTAAATTGGTGCAGCCACTAAGAAGGACAGTATAGAGGTTCCTTAAAAAACTAAAAATAGACTTACCATATGATCTAGCAATCCCACTCCTGGGCATATATCCAGAGAAAACTCTAATTCAGAAAGACACA